ATGTAGAAAACTTCCCTTGAAGAAAAAAGAAGAGGAAAATTTGACCTGGACTTTGAAGGATGGGGAGCATTTGCCTAGGGATCAAAAAAGGAGGATATTCCAAGTGGGAAGACAATGGAGTAAAGATAAAGAGATGCAGACATCCAAATCCTGCTCACTAATAAACCTGTCTGGCTGGAATAGAGAGTGGGTGTAATGAGTAAGAATGTATGAAACCGGAAGACAAGGAGGGAGAGAACATCTCTGTGCTGGGAAACAATCCACTGCCCTGGAGAGCCACCTGCCCTGCCCAGAGCTGATGAGTCATAAACACTGGATCTGTGTGAGATCTCCCTGGAACTATTCTGGATCCTGTCACCATCTAGATTGTCCTAGTAAATTACTTATCACCTCACTACAAATGCTCAATATATGGTTATAACTATTTAGAATTCGGTTGTGGCTGCATCAATCTCTATCATCATTATGCCTTTCTAGCTGATAAAAGGGTAAATTCAGTAAATTTACAACTTATTGATGGATTGTTGGTTACTCTGTTTTGTTATATTTTGCAGAGTTGAAAGAAATCACCCAGAGTTGATAGCATGTGTTGAAATTCGGCTCAGGCATCAGAGGTACAGATGCCAGAAAAGCAACATTCCTGCCTGCCCCAGAATATCATAGGACACTAAGTCTTGCATTTGGGTCACTGTTCATCCCTAAATAAGTGTAAACAGGTTTACTGCAATCCATTTAAGTAGAACCCAGGAAAGGAGCACTTCCTAGTTTCCATAATGGCAGTAAAACCTGGCGTGCAGGGACATTCTCCCCAAGAGGGTATGGGAGGTAGTGAGCTCACCTGGTGGTACACTGTCTCCTCCTTACCTTGCTGCTTTCTGGGCACGTTGAACTGCCAGAAATTCCTTGACAGGACTTTGACACTTTGGGCGGGTCAGGGAATCCTAAAACTGCCACATTAGGTAAGGTGCATGTTCGCCACATTTCATATAATATTTTTACTAATGCATGTGAATTATACATGAACTCAAAATAAGCAATCTATGGTAAACTGCTTTTATTTTTGCCCCTGTGTTGGTGTGTGTTTTGCATCTAGTCCTTCAAGTCCCAGAGTTCCACATGAAATTGACAGTGGCTAAGTATTATTGTGCTCCATACCCAAGGAGGATGTTTTAGCAATGTCATAGTGTGACCCAGGTCTGACAGACAAAGCACCAGGCCCTATAAGCACCCCACACCTAACTGAGCAAGAGTTAAAGATGTACCCCCAAACCTGCAGAGGACTTCACTTCTTCCCATGAATTTCCCCTATATAGGGAGCACATGTTCTCTCAGAGACACAGCAACTTCTGGCAGGCACACAGAGGAGGAAGTCTAGAGGCCAGTCTAACCACTCGCTTGGAGGTCTCAAACCCCCACACAGAGCACCTTCGTCTGACACCCTGACCTAAAACATGGTGACTACAGTTGATAACGCTGCCCTGTGTAATTAAAATTCGCTCACACACAAAAGGAGATCACTGGTTATGTCAATAATTGCATTTGGATTACATGGTGAAATGAGGATATTTTAGGATATTTATTTATTTAACACTGGTTAAATAAAATGCTATTAAAATGTTCAAAAATTATTTTACAACTGATTGTAAGAGGAATTCTAATTCTTGTATTTACATGATTGAAATATTTCTGAAGATTTAAAGGCACAGGGGGAGTGGGAATATTGAAGTAATAGTTTGATAGTAAAAGAACTGGTTTTGGTTGTTAAAAAATTTAAATATAGCTGAATAAAATAAAAGGGTAGTAATGTTTTACTAAACTTTTGTTTTATGCATGTGCATACTGTGTGGCAGCACCAAATACATTTCAAAAATGAGGGCATTCAAAAAAGTGTGGACAGGGCCTCCCCGGTGGCGCAGCAGTTGAGCGCTGGGTTGCGAGGCTGCCCGCGGCCTCTGCGGCATCTGTTCAATCCCCGGCTGCTCCCCGGCCACAGGAGGAGGGTCCTACATGGCGCACAGACCTCTCCTGCCGCCCGCTGCTCCCCTCAGCAGTGTACTTCGGTCCCTCTGCCTGCTCTGCTCCCCGCTCTGGCTCTGGTGAATTCTCTCACCCTTCCGCGCTTCTGACTGTGCCCGGTGCATGCATAAACAAATAAATAAATAAAACATGCCTCTATTAAAAAAAAAAAATTCTCAAAAAAGTGTGGACACCATTCATTTAGACCACCACGCCCATCATGCCAGGGGGTGCTTAGATGGTCCTCCTGGGCAGGGAATAAAGCTTGGCCATTCCTTCGTGGATGTAGGCAAAGCTATTTCACTTTCAGAAGAAATTTTATAAAAGCATAGCTAGAGGAGGAACACAAAAAACAAAGGGTGTTCTGCAATCTCTACATCCTGCACAGTCATGAAACTCGTTTGTTAGAGCTCTGTTTGGTAAGAAAAGAGGAAGCCCATCTCCAATGCCTGGCAAGAGAAAGGAAAAGTGTAACTTAATGTCAGTGCTGCCTATTAGCTCAGATAGAAGAGGGATGCTGGGCTCCCCAAAGGAAGAGGTGCAGTGACCAGCTCCCTGGAGGCTGAGAGTAGACAGACCCATCCATCCCTCTTGAGACTCACTATATGGAGGGGTTCCAGCTCCCCCAGACATTTGTAAAGTTCAAGGAGAATAATTTCACTTTCCAACAGTGAGTAACCTGAGTTCTGTGTCACCTAAAGTTCTCTTGAGTAGAAAGTAAAGAGACTTGACCAAAAACACTTTGATGGTTGTGTTGGGGAGGGTGTATCATGTTCACCACCTCCAGGAACATGGGGAGGAATATGCTGCCATGTTGGACTACCTACGGGGAACTAGGGGTGGATCTGAGTGATGAGGTGGAGCCCTATAAATAACTGCCACGGCCCACGTGATAACAATTGTATGTCCAAATGATGACTCTTTCACTCATTGCCTTATAAGTACTGATACTACCCATTAATTAATTTGGGACCTGACAAAAATCCCCCAAAGCACTCCATCCAGAATCCTTGGGAAATGGATTATTCAGGATGAATAAGATTTCCCATAAAACAGGCCCTCCCTGGTGGCACTGGGATTAAAGTCTTAGCACTTTCAAGCTAGCGCCAGCCACTGAGGCATGAGTTCGATCCCAGGCCGGGGAGCTGACCCACATGGTGCAGCGGACCTCTCCTGTCTTGCTCACTGCTCCCCTCAGCAGTGTATTTCAGTAGATCTGTCTGTTCTGCTCCTCACTCTGTCTCTGGTGAATCCTTTCCCCCTACACCTCTGGCCTACACCCCAGTTCTTGTATGCATAAATAAAAATAAATCTTTAAAAAAAAAAAGATTTTCCACAAAACTAACCCCATTAATTTTAGAATTTTTCAAAACTTTATTCATTAAGAAGAAAAGAAAATTTTCCAAACCATGCACGTTGCCCCCACCCACCAAGTCCAACTGCCCCAGGCATACCTGCCCTGCCTACTTCTCGTTGCTCTCCACCCAGGGGTCTCCGAATGATGCTCTTCCCCACCCTCCACCACAGGAACCAAGGTCCTTCCCACCTCCTAGCTGCTTCTTTCCCATGGATACCTGGATACTCCTGACCTATCAAAACCAGCTTGCCCTCGAGGGCCACCTTAAGGATGTCTGCCAGGAAGCTGCCCCCCCACTTTATTCTCATTCTGTAACAGGGTGGTCCCCAGGAAAGGGGGAGGTTCCAGGTTCCCTGCCCCACCCAAGGAAGGGTGGAGCTGAGCAGGAAGAGGAGAAGCTGAAGAGGAGACTGAGGAAGGAAGCAGGATGGAGCCAGGAGACCTGGAGGAGGCGCATGGAGCCTAGAGACACGTGAAGAAACTGCGCTTGTCTTTTGGTCGTGGACTGGGTGACACAGATGTGGGTGAGACCCGTGGGGAGGTGACAATGGCAGTTTTTATCTTGATGTTGATTTTGCTCTTTTCCTTCAGGGCTTGTCTGGTTATTTCTGACCCTTTGCTGTGGGTCCCCACTGGAAGATGCTTTAGACTTGTGGCAGGCTTTGGGCCTTGCTCTGGGCCAATCCCATTTGGATGGACTTTTACCCACGAGGGGTCGGGTAACTTTGGGTGCTTCATTTAGAAACTAGACTCTTTGCCTTACCTGTATTGTTTCCTAGTTTTATTAAAGTTCCTTCCCATTAAAGTCTTATATGTTTTGTGTTGATGCGGCGGATGGCAGAACCCATTTAGAATAGGCAGGTTTGCGGGGGGGGGGTTTGGGCTGACCCTCTCCCTGTCCTATAACACTATAACAATTCCTCCACAATCTCTCTGTCTCTCAGGAGGTCTTTCACATTACATAGAGTTTTATTATGCAGATTCTCCCTGCTGTTCTAACGTGAAACATTCCTATGAAATCTTTTGTAAACCAAAATGGCCTAAAGCAGAAGGAGCAATTCCCATCTATTCATAAGGAAAAATTTTTGAGTGTTCCCAGACTCAAAATAGATTTACCAAATCATATCAAATCAAATAGTATATAAAACCTAAAATAAACCTAAAATAACACTAACACCTATTAAAAGCAGGAATGCTATGGTAAACACACAGCTTATGTAAAGCAGCTCTGGAGACTCGCTGTCAGGGGCTCCTGCCTCTACAGCTGTGAAGAACAAAACACTGAATGCTATTTTTGCTTTTCACCTTTTGCCACAAAAGGAAAGTCCTCTTTGGGTTTCTTTTGTGAGCAGAAACAGGTACTAACCTAGGGCTTTCGTGAAAGCAAAGTGGTGTCATGTGAACTTTGAGTAAGAGAGGTATTCTGTGTTTTGCTTGTTGTTTTATTCATAACTCTCATTCCTCAAACTATTTTCTAAGAACTTTCGGCCAGAGATACCATTTATTACTTGAGTTCATTCCACAACCTACAGCAGAGTGTCTTGTGCACCATTGAGAACAATTGTTCCCTGTTTGTGTGGGAGCATTTTGCCCTCCACCTTCTTTTCAGAGTGGAAACCACAAGTACCTTTCTTTTAAAAACTCTTCGAACTCTTTGCAGTTTTTGCGTCCGTTGTTCAGGTGCTGGATGATGCTGTCGTAGCCGGCGGTGCTGAGGATGTCCGAACACTGGCAGGAAAGACAACATCGAGTCAGACCAGGAACAGGGACAGATGGGCAGTCCCAGGGTCTGGAGTGGACAGAACACCGGGACACCCACCATGTTTGAGGTTTCTCAAACACTTGACTTCCAAGAAATGCATGGCCAAAAGGAATAAAAATAGAAGAAGTAAGACTGCAAGTAGCTGTGGAAGAGTCTTTAAAATTATGAAACAGAAAGGCCACAAAACAGGAAGGAAGTGACAGAGGGCTGAGAGATGCTTGGATGAGGGAGCTGAGCTGCTGGTGTCCCTTCCTGGGAGTAGGCACTGGGCACACCCTCCAGCCATCTGGAGGGTGTGTCTTCACCCTATTAAGTGGAAAGTGACTCACACCCTGCAACCTTTTTAACCAGAGGTTATAAAATGTTCACTTTGTCTGTATTTTATTTTTTTTAAAGATTTATTTATTTATTTATACAAGCACTGGGTTCAGTCAGAAGCGCGGGAGGGTGAGAGAATTCACCAGAGCCAGAGCAGGGAACAGAACAGGCAGACCTATGAAATACACTGCTGAGTGGAGCAGTGGGCGTGGCAGGAGAGGTCTGTTGCGCCATGTGGGACACTCGCTGGCGGCCAGGGATTGAACCGGCGCTGCAGAGGCTGCAGGCAGCTTCACAGTCCAGCGCTCAACCGCTGTGCCACCAGGGCAGGCCCCACTTTGTCTTTAAACTTGACTCTGACCTCAGTTACCACAACCAACAAGCCCAGTCCGAGGGCTGAGGATTGAGGGGAGCACCTCTGAGCCAGGAGCCAAGTCCCAGGAGTGGGAATGATAGGCCAACATCCCACTGGGGAGCATGAAGGGGAGTCCAGCATCCAATATGTTCCACATGGGCATTGGTCTCATTTGGGGGAAAAGAATTATTTTTTAATTTTAAATTAGCAGTGCAGACCTCTTTGAGTCTACAGAGTGCTCTGTGGCTGGAGCTGCCTAGTCTCCCAAAGCAGTAGCCCCAGATGCAGTGCATTTTAAAAACCAAAACCCCCTCAGCTCCCCAAACCAAAGAAGGGTCCCCTAATGAGGTTAGTCTATATTTTCTATTCCCAAATGCACACAAGAGATTGCCTGATTCAAACTCCAATCTATAGGGAGGCTGATGAGGTTGCTTCTGGGTGTGTCCTGGGGAATTTTGAACTCACCCAGCCCAAGGCAGCCAAGGTGGATTATCCCTTCTCAATCCCCTGTTCACAGAGATGCAACTCTGCCTCTGAGGGGAGGGGAGGAAAACTCATTCTCTACCTAGCCCTGGGCACTAGGGAAGCAGAATTCCTTCCTTCCAGTTGCTGCTTCTCCTCATGGCCTACCTGAGCAAACAGGAGTCCCACAGAAACTCAGCAGGACCAAGGTCTGAAGCTTATTTCAACCCAATGCTTGGAAAAGTTTACTGTCCATAACTCATGCCTACCATTTCTTAAAATGGTTCTTGTAAGTATGATAAATTTTACATGTGGGTATATAAATAAATCCAAGTTAGAAATATATTTCACCCTATGACTTGTAGCTATTGTTGGAGCATAGATTTAAGCAATGTGAAACCTAAAGAAACAGACTTTCACTCCTGTGCTCACCCCCTCCATACACACTCTTCTGCCTCAACCACGAAAATTTCTTCCTGCCTCCTGAAATGCAGTACTCAACTCTAAGATGATGCTTACATCATCCCCTCCCAAATCCAAATCCAGCCCCTCAACCCTCAAGTGTTCCAGAAGTCATCTCTGAACAGCCCCCATGTTCCCTACTCTGGGATCTTAAAAACCTAACTTCTGGATTTGCCATCTAACATCACCCATGTCAGTAGCTTTGCTGTCCCGACTCTCAACTGCAAATTCCAGCAGCTTCTTCTAAGTCTTGGACTAACCCTGTACACACGCGCACGCACACACACATCTACCTTAACATTACATACGCCAAATCTACAGCAAAACTCTGCAGGATGAAAATGCCTATTGTGTTCCCAGCCAGATGCATTAGAAGAGGCAGTGAAAACAAAGACTCCTGAGTGAAGGAATGAATGGACAAGGGTCAATATCAAAGTTGGTTTATAGACAGAAGTGCTTTGTTTTTCCTGGAGACACTTGAACTCTCTTTTTTATGACACTCATTTGGAAAAAAAGTGCTTTCCTTTTTCTTTAGTAAGGATGGATAAGGAGTGTGGAACTAGTTTCCTGCAAACAAACCAAATGCCAGGCCTCCTGGCTGCCAGCCTAAAAAAACCAGAATTGTGGCTTCAGAGGAGTGGATAGGCTGTAAAGCCACCAAGTAAGACAATCCCCCAAGAGAATACAAAGAGGGTCCAAGGGTAAGTACAAAGTGGCAAAGGATTTGTCTTGGAAAAACTACTCTGTGCTCAGAAAGCACCTGCGGTAAACTCTGACCCACAGAAATCATAACATGACAGCCAAATAGGAAATTCTGGTTTTTTTAGGCTGGCAGCCAGGAGGCCTGGCATTTGGTTTGTTTCCAGGAAACTAGTTCCACACTCCTTATCCATCCTTACTAAAGAAAAAGGAAAGCGCTTTTTTTCCAAATGAGTATCATAAAAAAGAGAGTTCAAGTGTTTCCAGGAAAAACAAAGCACTTCTGTCTATAAACCAACTTTGACATTGACCCTTGTCCATTCATTCCTTCACTCAGGAGTCTTTGTTTTCACTGTCCCTTCTAATGCATCTGGCTGGGAACACAATAGGCATGAGCTCTAAGATGGCATTACAGATCTGCCATCAAAGTGAGTGTACCGAATCCATAACCCCAATATCCTTGACTTGATAATTGGAGCCTCCACATAATAATACCCCGGCATCTCTCCCCCAATTTTCCCCACACTGATCTCTTCCCTGTATTCCAAATGGACGATATACATTTCTGCCCGGGACCTTTATCTGTGCATTTCCCACAGTGGGAATGTCATCTTCTCCCTCTTCACTTAAACCCCATCTCTGCTTCTGTGCCAGTTCAGATTCCTCTCTGAAGTCTTCCTCTCTGAAGTCTTCCTCAAATAACTCACCCTATAGTCTCCTCTCCCCCTTCTGAATGCCTGAAGTGGTTAAAACCAGTTCCTCTCAATTGGTTCTCACTATATATTGTATTTTGTGTCTAAGTTAACATCTTTTTAAATTAACATCTTAAAGAGTATCTGGGTGATACCTACAGCAGCTTCCACATTAATGATGCTTGGGAAATGTTTAATTGTGTACCAATTACAGACAAGCTACTCAAAAGGTTACATAAGAGAGTTCTTGCAATCAGGGAGCTTATTGTTCATTTAAGGAGTCAGTAGAGACACATACATAAAATACTTTCCTCCTCATAAGGAGAAAATAAAGCAAGAAATAACGCAAAAAAAAAATAGAAATACATACATATTGGAAAGGGAAAAAACCAGTTTTTATTTGCATATCACATGATTTTGTATAGAAAAAACTAAGAAGTTTACTAAAAGAAATTACAAGGACTGGGTCTCCCTGGTGGCACAGTGCTATCAAGCTATTAACCAGCCGCTGCAGCATGAGTTTGATCCCCAGCCAGGGAGCAAACCCACAGGGCACAGCAGACCTCTCCAGACTCACACGCTGCTCCCCTCAGCAGTGTGATTTAGTCAATCTGCCTGTTCTGTTCCCCACTCTGTCTCTGGTGAATCCTCTCATCCCCCCACACACACCTCCAACCTGTACCCCAGTGCTTGTATGCATAAATAAATAAATCTTTTAAAAAAAAGATGTTAAGTACAGAAAGTATTTCCAAACTGATCCCATTTATATGGAAGTTTAAGGCAGGCCAACAGTACTAGGAATTATTTATATGGTAAAAGAAAAAAGAACAGTGACTCCCTGAGTCAGGAAGCAATTGAGAGTGGACTAGGAAAGGCCACAGGGAATTTCCTGGAATGATGGAAATGTATACATCCACATGACTCACATAATTATCAAGATCTTTCTATAGAGGTGTGGATTGTACTGATGTGTATTTATCTGTGCATTTTCTCTTATGTAAAGTACATCTCAAAAATATTAAAAGGCAAATAAAAACAGTAAAGATTCAAAGACATGAAGGACAGGAGGCAGCACCCTAGACCTGCTGATTTCCAGCCTGGGGTAGGAGAATCTTCACTTTTTACTCCATTTCCCTGAATTCTAAATGGCACACACCTGGTCCTCAACACCAGACCTGGGTTTGAGTCCCAAACCCACCACACGGAAGCTTTGTGACTTTGAGCTGAAAGCTCAGTTTCTCTTATGTTAATGCACTAGACTATAAAATGTGGGTAATTGGAAGGCTCAAAAGAGAATATGTGCTTTGAATTTGTCAAGTGTTACAACTCCGCACCGCTGAAAATAAGTGAAAGTGAAACCTGAGAAAGTAAGTGTCTGCAAAAACACTGCATCAGGAAAAAAATGAGAAAAACTTAAGAGGATGTACACCAAATGTTGAACACAGCTCTTTACTTAGCAGATGCCCACATTTTTTACAGTATGCTTTCATTATTTCTATAATCTAGTAATTCTCCCTGCCTCCCCATAAAGATGGCAAACTGAAGTCTTTTCACCTCTCTCATGGGTCTCCAGACCCCACTAATATAACAAGTGACCCATAGCAACAACAGAAAATAGCGAAGGGCCCAAGAGAAGTCAGATTTGTAGAATGTCAGTATTATGAAAAAGCAGATGGGACTACATGGACCGAGGTTGGGAACCAGGAATTCCAACCCATACAAACATTCCCAAGAAAGTTTGAAAATGCCAAGCTCAAATCAGCAGGGGCTGAAACAGGAGCAGCCATGGAGAAATTGCAGGGTGTCTGTAGGACCTGGGGAAGCTGGCCAGCTCCCCACCCCAACACCCCACAGAGGCAGAGCAGCTGATTCCCAATTCTGTGCCAAAAGCACTGCTGGTGAGAACTCCACCCTGCAGCAGGCTCCTCGCAAGAACATGAAGACCAGAACAGCACAGCATGTTGTCACCCGGTATTGA